TAACTAAAGTACAAATGCAAAACATGATTAAAATCAATGATTTAAATCAAGATTTCCTGCATGCTGATTTAAAATCATGATTAAAACCAGTCATTTAAGTCACTGATTTAAAATCAGTCCACCCTGATTTTGGTCCACTGATTTCTAGTTTCTATTTTTTTGTTTACCAGGCATGATCTTAACAGTTCTTTAATTATGGTAGTAGGCCTTTTTGTTTAGACTAATTTTGTTTTGTTTTGTTTTCCCTTTGCAGTTGTCTCATTTATTGGGACATTTGATAAACTTTTAATTAGTTTTTATAGTTGAGCTTACAATTTAGGTAGATTTGTTATTACAACAGCGTTATCTGCCTGTGCAGTTCTGCTACTCCCTGGTACAAAAGGGTATTTTTATCCTTTAGCTTTTCAGTAGGTCAGCCAGATGCAGAGCCAGGTATTTACGATCTCTCTGTTCTTTTAAGGTTTGTGTGTCTGAGGTCCAAAGATACTTTTGTGTAATGCTATCAGACCAGGTGCCAGCTCAAGCCAAAGTCCCCACATCTCAAGTGAACACTGGCAAATACATAGCTAGTATCAGTCTAGCTTGCCTGTGTGTTAGTATTGTTAAAATAGGTTCTAAGAAAGTGTTTAGACTTCATTGAATGTTTGTGATTTGATTTGCTGCATGTATTAATCTCACTTACAACATCTGTTCCCATATTGTATGGTAATGTTTGAGTGGTTGTATTGTGAGCCTCTGTGACGGTGTAACTCACCAAATAGGAGAGAGACATTAACTAGGGTGAAGTGCTGATCTTCAACAGAAGATGTTAAGTCCTGTCCAACAGGAAAGGTCTATCAGTACCAGATGGACTATTGTGGGACATTAAAGAGAACAAAAGCCGTTTGTTGTTCTGCCCTCCTCCATGTGAAGATGAGTCATGCAAGTGGATTCCTCCCATCAGGGCAGCTTGCAGCTCAGGGCACACAGCAAGAGGGGATAAAAACTCCTAACAATCCCTGCTTGGACTCTGGGGATGCGGGGGAGACAAGGGTTTTCTAGGCATAAGCAAGAGACCTCCAGATGTTTAGTCTGGGTTAGCCCTACAGGACATATACAACTTTTTTATTATAGCAGCTTCTATTATCTTTTGAAACTTAAAATTGTAAATCTTTTGTGTATAGATGTTTACCTGTTTTAACCTTATAAATGGTCTTTTGTTTCCTTTTCCTATTTAATAAATATTTATTAGAGTTTACTAGAGGATTGGCTACAAGCGCTGTCTTTGGTGTGAAATCTAAAGTGCAACTGACTTGGGGTAAGTGACATGGGCGTAACCTTAATATTGCTGTGATTCTTGGTGTAAGGGATAATCTATCTCAAAAATATGATCAAGGGGGGAGGAAAGGGGGTGGTGAGATAGATCAGAGTACCCAAAGGGACTGTCTGACTCTATGTTAAGGCTTTTTATAGTGTCCTAGGAGTATCCACTTGATAACAGGTTGATGAAATCTAAGGGCAGGTCTACAGTTAAAATGCTGCATCAGCACAGCTGCACCAATGCAACTGCATCGCTGTGGCACTTAAGTAAAGATGCTCTTATGCTGATGGGAGAAGTTTTCCTGTTGGTGTAGTTAATCCACCTCCCTGATACGTGATAGCTATGTTGACAGAAGAAGCTCTCCCGTCAATGCAGTACTGTCTACACGGCAGGTTAGGTCAGTATAACTATGTCAGTCAGGGGTGTATATAGTGTAGACCTGGCCAAATTATAGAACTCACAATTTAGGATTTGTGCCCTGTCTCCTAACAGTCTGCCCTGAGGTTGGTACTCCTGCTCTTGAGTCACTGGAAGCAGCATTACAACTTTGATCTCGATAGGGTCTTATGCAAATATAGTAGGTCACTGCTTTGTTAATTGGAAATGGAGACGTTAATTTAGTGTCTGCTGTAATTTAGTATTGCTTCCCAATATTCATCATTAGTAGTGAAATAAAAACATTATATTTGATCAGTGCAGTGAAAGAAGTATTGTTTAGAAGTCAGTTCTGCTCTAAAAAAGTGACTACATAAAAATGGTAAACCACTTGAGTGCTGATAGTCCTCCAATGCCTCCCTCGCCAACATTGGCCCATCATTTATTACTTCAGCTTATGCCCTCCCCTTTAAAAATACCCTCAATTTCCCCAGACAACATAGCAATCATTGAAAAAAAAACTTACCTTGAATTGGATGAGATCTTCTTCATCTATAAACACTGCCATCTCCTTCCAGCTGAAGGAAGCCCTCTTACGGTACTCACAAAGTGGCCCCTCAGGGAAATCTGGTAGCAAGATGTCCCAAGAACTTTGGTTGCAAGTGGCTTCTTTCAGATCACTAGTCGATGCCATCTTGAAGTTAAACACTTCTGCATCCAACAAGAACATATGTCCAATGAGCTAAAGCACTGAAAATGTCTAATTTTTTTTCACAAGTACTTTTATCAGGGGATAAAAATGGGAATTGAAGAGTGCCCCAGGGCCCTACTACACCCTGCCACAAAAGAAGAGCAGCAAAGGTAGGTCCTCAGGTCTTCTTAGAGAGCCCTCATCCGAAGCAGCCAATCAGACCCCAGTAGGCTCAGTTAAAAGGAGCTGCAGGGGCTTAGCAGCTCAATTCCTGGCTGGGGCCAGAGGGGCACGGAAGGGTGCTCTGCTCTGGTCAAAGGGAGCTTGATAGGCTGCATTAGCTAAACCTGGGAGCGAAAGGATCTGAGAGCTCTAGCCCTAAAGTAATAGGCAGAGGTAAAAAGGCTTGGTGCAGGAGCAACCAAGTAAAGGAAGCAGCACATGGCTTTTATTTATAGGGTCTCTGGGTTGGGACCCGGTGTAGCGGGTAAGCCCAAGTAACCCCCATCAGCTGCAGAGGAAGTGGCGTAAGCCCTGAGAAGGGGATAAGGCTCATTTAGAAGCCCAAACAAAGGGTTGGAATTTAAGGGCTCAGGGACAGGGCTGAAAGACTGTCTGTTTGGTGGACTCTTGATTACTGCCTCCTCCCCCTCTCCCCCGCCCCCCCCAAAAAACAAAACCCAAAAACAAACAGCCAAACAAAAAACCTTGAGATGAGCTGGGACAGAGATAACTGGTGAGGACAAAGAGGCTCCAGGGAGAAAGCCCTGCTCTCTAACAGGGCAGGGAAGGACCTTCAGTTAGCCCAGAAGGGGCTGAGAACTGAGCCTAGAAAGGGGGCTGAAGACACTAACAAGGGTGCAGCAATAGTTCTCATTGGACCTTGTTACCCTAGAAGGGGTTCATTCATGCCTATTGACTGTGTGTGACTTGCCTGGAGAGCTGAGCCACTGAATATCTGCCTAGCGAGGTTGGCTGCCCACAAGGGGCGCCTGGAGAAAAAGAAGATGGCAGCACCACACCCACCTCACAGAAGTCACTCATGAGAGGTGAGTGCACCCCATCACAAACAGTTCTTCAATCAATCCATACATAATCATTCAAAAGGGACAGCGACTGCAGACTCAACTGTTAAGACTGGCCTTCTCTTTTTCTAAATTAACTGATTTAGTACAAGTTAAATAACTGTCTCTGATCAGATATAAATGGCTTATACACTTTTATTAAAATGTGAACTGAGCAATGTGAAAAAGAAATATATAATTTATGCATACTAATAAAACTAGATAAAAGGAAGATTTAGATAAAAGGACCAGAAGAAGAAAGTGCTGTGATTTAAACATCAGTAAAAAAGATTAGTTTCGCTCCCAAATGAAACACTGTGTAATAAAATATCAAAGCATCCACACATGCAGAAAAAACAAAGCATAAAATGCAGGAGATGAAAGCATTTCTTTTCTTCACGGTCTTGCCAGTTAATGTTCAAACGAACTATTCCAAATGGCATTTGTCGGTCAGTACACATTAAAAACAAACATTTTATTCTTTTTGTATCACCAAAGTGACCAATGAGTGCCAGGAAGCCAAGGATCACGCTGAAGCCGAACTAGACAGAAGTGACGTTGGCAGGAAGACAGAACTTTGAGGAAGTGGCAGGAGCTCTGACCTCCTTTTCCATTGGGGTCATCTGCCCTTGTGTAGTCCCATACACCTATGCAAAGTGCATGTAAAAATGACTGTAAAATGCTACCAAATCAGCATGGTATCACTCTATACCTGCAGTACACAGGTATAAATGGGAAGGGAAGAATCACTGAGGTAGTAGAGAATCAGGTCCCTTACATCCACAGGATATTTAGGGTATGTCTTCATTGCAGAGTTAACTCATGCTCTTATTTGGGTGTTGCTCCTATAGCCCTTTGCATCCACACACAAAACCCTCTCACGCAATCCAGACTAGCTGAGTAAAACTTTCACTCCGGGTAGTCACCACCCACTTTGCAGTGAGACCACAAGCTAAACCACTTGAGTGCTGATAGTGCTGATATGCCTTCCTCCCACAATGCAATGGAAAAGTCATAGAGTGTCTCCTCTTATTGCATCACAAAGAACCATGGGATATGCCCCTAGAAATCCTACCAACACATGCTGGGGGGGCGCAGTACCAGTGAGGACACAGTAACTTGGATAGGGCTTTGTGGTGTGGATGTTCACATTGAAGGCAGGCTAACCTGGGTGCCGATCACCCAAGCTAACTCTGCAGTGAAGACATACCCTCTGTAAAAAAAACAACCAACAAACCATCTGTGACCATTGTGTCAAGACACAGTTGCTTCAAAAATAGACTAGATTAAGCCCTCCGTGGAAAGGATACCCAGAGATGGCCACTGCATTCTAAACTTGTATTTTCAGCTACTTAAAACTTTCCCCAAAATACTGACTTTTTAGGCTGCAATGACTAAAAAGGGGCGGGGCTGCGCACTCCGGCAGATCAAAGCAAGTTCAATATAATGCGGTTTCACCTATAACGCGGTAAGATTTTTTGGCTCCCAAGGACAGCGTTATATCAGGGTAGAGGTGTCTCTCTCTCCATGATTTTCAGGTCTTTACTGACTTCTGTTCCCCAGCTAGGAATTTCACAAATAAATCACTTCAAAGGTGTTCATATTTATTATCATTTTGTAAGCAAACATGGAATTCACCCTCCCTCTGACCTTAAGCTATGCTCATAGTCCAGATATAAATTACTCACTGGAGACATTTATTGACAAAATAGAATTCAAACTCAGCTTTTGTTTAAAAGTACATTGGCTGGTCAATGCGATTGAAAGAGTTTGTTTTAAAAGGAATAATATTTATACTGTGGCATTTGGAACCCCACCCAAATATTGCAGAATTCTGCTAATAGAGGCCTTCATCCTACAGCTGGATCTGTACAGGCAGAGATCTGTGCCTGTGCTGAGTACCACTGAATTTAACAGGATGCCATGGGGTGTCAAGATTTAATTGCAGGATCAGGGCCATATAGCTCAATTATGCCCTACAGATATACCATGGGGTGCACTGTAGAATCTCTGGAAGATTGCACAGGGAGTGTATCTATTGTTGCATCTTTTCACAGGGTGCAGCAGGACACTCTCTCCCTGCATCTTATTCTCCACTCACTAGACCTACACAGTCCTGCTGCTGCAATTGTACCCAGTGGGGGGAACAAGGGAGCAAAGGAAGGAAGTGTCATGGTCCAGATCCACTCAGATATTTAGGCACTACTGCGATCCACAAAAAGTTAATTCTGCTCAGCTTCCACCTAAACTACAAGTGCCTAAGGGACCTATAGTGTAGACAAAGCCTTATACAGCAAAAAACAAGGCCCTAAGTTTCTGTCCCAGGGAGGCAGCTGGACGTCTCTCATGCCTAAGCCCCAGCATGATTCTCAAACCAAGTGAAGAAAGCTGTTGCCTGGCCTACCTTGCCTGCAGGGCCTTATCCAATAGGCATCCTTTGAGCATGCCCACCTGCACACACAATGGCTGAGGGGACGAAAGGGGGCCACCTTCCTTATAAACTTTAGTCCAGTTGTTAGGGTAGTCCCCTGGGATGTTGGGGGAGATCCCAGTTCAGTTCCTCCTCTCCCTAATGAGAAGGAATTTGGACCAGGTTCCCCACCTCTCAGATAAGTGCCCCTGCAGGGTCTGATCCATTGCTTGGCGATGCAACACCTAAATCTCTGCTGATTTCGGCCCAAGTGCTCTTTCATCCCACTGTACATCCACACAGTGAGGGGGCAGACCCTCAGCTGGTGTAGACTGTCATAGCTCCATTGAAGGGAATAGAGCTAATTATCACCAACTGAGGATCCGCTTCAGGGACTCGACATAATCAGGTTTATACGAATTTGAATCCTTTTGGTTTGTTAGATAACTCTACCCCGATCTAAACAAACTCAGAGACCCATGGCCAACTCGTTTATTAACTTGATCTCGGATTAACTCCTTTTGGGTTAACATAAAGCAATCTTGAATTACTGTTACAATGAAAGTTTGAGTTAATCAAACTGCTGTTAGGTAAACTGTTTAAAAACAAAGGTTCCCCCCCCCACACACACACCAATTTTGGTCTTTGTTCCCCATCTTATGATCTCACCTTTTCTCCTCATCCTCCAGCCTACAGGCTGCTGAGGATCTTGTTCTTGCAATTAGCTCTTTTATATTGTGTTTCAAATCTGAACAGGAAGGGAGGACTCTCCCAATGTAATCCCAGATATGAGTCGAAGGAGGGGGGAATTCGAGCCATGCTGACTGTGGGGAAGAGATCGATGGGAAAGGCATAAAGACCAGCTTGCAGTGGGCCATAAAAATGCCAGAAATTAATCTGCATGCAAAAATGGGCAGAACCTATTGGGTGAAAATCTGATAAGCCTGATTTCCACTAAAATCAGGCCCGTGGAGTGCCCAGTTGGTGGTGTAGACATAGGAAGTTCTCTGCTACCTTCTACTGACACCTACTCAGGACATAGACAGCAGCTTACCAGAGGATTGCACGCTTGTTCATCTGGGCTGACATCTTGTGTTATCATGCAACTGGAGGCCTGGAGGTGGGGGGGACTGGTTGGAGTGGAGTGTGGGACCCAGCTGAGCGGGAAGGAGGCAAGGGGCCCGGCTGGGTGTACAGCCTGGCCTACGTAAACAATGAAGGAGCATGTGAACCTTTGGTTTACCAATACTGGTCTCACTCTTCTCCTTTCCCACTTCTCTCTCTGCTCCATTTTTAACCCCTTAGCATCTCTTTCCCCACAACTGGATCCTCTTAGATCTAGAATGAGGCCACAGCTTTGCAATTGTGGGTAATGAGAATGTTTTGGAAGAGGAGTGGGCGGTAGAATTTCTGGGTGCCATCATTCAGACACACAGGAGAGTTAGCAGCCCCTGCATTGGTGCAGTGAAGGTGCTGAGTAGCTGGCTTTAGAAGAGAAACAGAAAGTAACAGACAATGGAAAAGAGCTTGAGCTGAAGCAGAAAAATAAACAAACAACTTTTCTGACAGTCAGGCAATAAAATAATGACAAGTCAGTGAGCTGGTAAACTGGGCAGAAAGTCAGAGCCTCAAACCAAAGCATACAGGTTAGACTGATTTGAAGCAAGGAGGAAAACAAGATTAAAACCCTGCAGTGAATGATGCAAGTGTGTAACTTCATTACATGGTAGCTCCATGGAGCTCAATGGGACTATGCATTTGACTAAATTTATGCTCATATGTAAGCATTTGGAGAACTCGGACCTTTTGTGTTTTTTAAAAATTCATGACTTTACATCTTGGGATTTGTGTGTGGATTTGACTGTAAACAACTGGACCTGTTTCACTGACAGCTGCCAAGTTAAAAACTGGGTACATGGGGGAACTCTTGTTAGCAGTGAAAATTCATAATTGCATAATAATAGCGGCTGATAAATCAACATTTGCAATGTAGTGCTGAGAAATAACAATGCACAAATTCTACAGCCCAGACACTCATGAGCGATCAGAGTTCAGGGAATGGCATAAAGTAAAAGAACTGTCACTTATCAATACCACTACAGCAGCTCGACACTCTCCTTAGGAAATTCCACTGCAGTATAATGCACAACCATCAGAGTGAAATAATTAAAAACGGGGTACAAAAATGACCCTCAGACCAGTCTACTGTCCGACCAGGCAGAAATGCAACAACAAAGAGGGAAGAGTAAACTACACATTTAACAACCTGTCAAGGTTTTATTAGAGAACCCTTTATACATATGGATTACAACCCACGAGGGATCCTTTCAACAGGGAATGACCATCACACTTCACAGCCTCACGGCCACTATCTGGCCTATCTCCCTCCCCAGCTGTGGGTGAGGAGAAGGGTACCATGAATGGGACACTGGCACCAGAAGGCTGGTACAGAGGGGAAGGGAGAGGTCGCTATGGCTCTGTATGGGGATCAGTTGCTTCTGCTGTTGCCTTTGGCTTCTCCCCTTCGCTGCCAGGCTGGCTCTGGTCTGGTGTGAACCCCCAGGACGCAGCCATCGGGAAGGGGGCAGCCAGCGGGACTCCCACCGGGGCGGAGAGTCACTCACTTACCTACAGCTGCTGCCGCTGCTGCCCCAGCCTGCTTCGCTGCAGGAACTGACGGTACAAGCCTGCGCCTCGCCCACCTCCTCCTCTCCGCCGGAGACACGCTCACTCCGCGACTCCGGCCGGGCTTGGGCTGGGGCTGCGGGCGGCGGCGGGGCACATGGGGCTGGTGGGGGAGATCGCGCTGCGGGACAGCGCCTCGCTGCTGCCCCGGGGCTTCTGGGCAGCCGTCAGCGTCTGGCTGGAGAAACCCCAGGTGGTGAACAAGAGACTGAGCGGCTCCCGCATCGAGGCGGAGAGGAGAGTGCCTGCCCCGGCGGTGGCTGGGCACGGGGCCCGGCCGGGCAGGGGGGCAGGGGCAGCGGAGAGGAGGACTGGGCATGGGGGGAAGGGGATGACTGGGAATGGGGAAGAGGGGGACAGGGGCAGAGGAGGGGAGGGGGATGACTGGGGATGGGGGGAAGGGGACAGGGGCAGAGGAGGAGAGGGGAATAGCTGGGGACTGGGGGCAGCACAGGGAGGAGGAGAGGCAAGTGAGTGCTGGGGATGAAGCTATCCCTCCCCCCACAATGCTGGAAGCTCTCTGGAGTGATTTCTCTGGCATGATTGCTCGGGAGGATTGTGAAATGCCAGCCTTCATTAAAGAACTTGGGAAAGAAAACCAGCCTGAGACAGATGCTCTCGGCCTCGATGCGGTCCTCAGAACTCTGTTCCCTAAAAGTCACCTTCACCATTGCTCCACTGCACCGAGAAAAGAAATGGTCATAAAAGGTAACTTAACAAAGGGGATGAATGACAACAAAGAGTCAGAGTGGTGGAAACTAGCTGGGCTTTCGTATGTGCAAATGCCAGCTGCCTCCTGGACCCATAGCAAGAGGGGATGTTAGCAAAGGAATTAAGTCACTCTGGAAATTCCTGTGATGGTACCAAGGTCAACAGTAGCCGGTACTTTGTAGTGAAAGTTATTTCCCACAGGTACTAGCGGAGTGTGTCTGACTGTTTTGTCTTTAAACATATAAGTAAAATACTTAAGTAAGACACTTACCTGTTTGGGGGGAGGGCAGTAGGAGAATTTGACTTTGAAATGTGAACATCAACCTTTTAGATAAATGGGCTGCGGGGTTGTCTAGTTTCATTGCAATGACACTGTTTTTCCTTTCCAGTGCGCCTTCCCAATGTTAATTTTCTTTCCTCATAATCTCACATTTCTTATGGGAGTGAATAAGGTAGCACCTACAATAAGAATACCTCCGATATCTTCCATTGAAATACTACTTTCAAAATATTGACCAGCAATAGGCCTTTGTGAATCAAACGAATACATCCTTCAACCTACCTAAGTATAGTAAAGCACTATGTAAGTGCTAAGGATGGGATTTTCAAAAACACTTAACAGAGGCAGGCACCCAATTCACATGGAAAGTCAATAGGAGATTTTGAAAATTCCACCCTAAATATTTATTATTCAGTTTGGTATGTTTATTACCATGATATTGGATCCAAGTGCTTTTTTAAAGGACACCAACAGCCCCAAACTAGAATCCACCCTTATAAAATACCATATTTTTTCAGCTGCTTTTCTAATCTTGAAAAACCTATCATCACCCAAAATGAAGCACTGAGAAAATTGCAACTTCTACTAGATTTCTTCACAGCCTCATGCTTTATACTATTGCTAAATTTAGCTTGTCTGTTCCATCCTTGTGAACAAGGAGGATATTGAAATAATGCTCATCTATTTTAAGAAGAAAGTAGAAGTATGGCAGGGGGGGACTAATTGGAGCTCCTACAGAAATAGGCCAAACAAAAACACAGCTGGCAGTGTAGGTGTAATTGTAGATTTACAAAGCTTGACAATAGCCTTTGAAAGTACAGAACTTAAAAAGGACATCTGCAGCAGTAGAATCTGACGTGGCTTGTAAGATTTTCAAAGCAACTTGAGTCTCTCTGTCTCTTTCAGACTAACCGTGTTGTTTAATAATCCTGGCATTTAGGGTTGCCAATCCTCCAGGATTGTCCAGGAGTCTCCAGGAATTAAAGATTAATCTTGAAAGATTGTCATATGATGAAACCTCCAGAAATACGTCCAACCAAAATTGGCAACCCTACCTGGCATGGAATTTTAAGCTTTCCTGAACAGACACATATAGTAATATGTTCTATTCACAGACAATCTTACTTTTTATGACCCTAATCCTGCAATGTATCCATTCAGAGTGGATCTTTACACCTGTGTGAATCCCATTGAAAAAATATACAGGGTGTGGGTTGAATTCTATTACTGGTCCTTGGGAAGGAACCTAAATCCAAAAGCGAGTAAAGTAACTGATCTAAGGCACCAACACTGATAGCTACCTTGAAATACTCAAATGTCTTGGAATTCTTACTCAATACCTTTTCTGAAACCATTTACAGTGTGTATTGTACTTCTGAATAATTTTTTGAGAATGGAAGGAAAAATCACTTATCTCGTGTATTTATTAGTCAACAGCCCTGTGTCTGTTGTTTTAAAACTCCCCCCAGGGGATTCCACCCATATGGAATAGCTTGGTAGACATGTTACAAAAAAATAAAATGATTTTGGAACATTCAGGTTAGAATGGGCGCTTATAGCCTCACATCAGACAGGGAACAGGGTAAAGATGGATTAAGTTTATTGAGGTCATGCTTACCAAATCCAGTGCTGTACAAAAGTGCAGTGCTATCTAAATGTGTCCACACTAGTCACACCCTTTTCCTGATCCTCATTCCTTGCTCGCACAGAACTGCTGTTGAAATCAGTGGGAATTTTGATTGCCTAAGGAATGTAAGCGTAGGCCCTGACTGCCTATTTGGTGCCCTGTGACTGTGTTGTTGTGTTGGAATGCATGCTTTGATGAAAATAAATAGAAAAGGACAAACAAACATTGACTTATTTTGTATTTCTGCCATCTGAAGGGTATTGGAGAAATTAAACCGCAAAATGTTTGCTCCAGGATACTCTTGTGGTTACCTTTTATAAATTAATAATGCCAATGTAGACCAATAACAGCAGTTATAATTCTTTTATAGCAATGCCATATGGAACATATTAAGCAATTTAGGGTTATTTTATAGGAGGCCATATGGATCTATTGAAGATGTGGGAGGTCAAATCAATAGCATGTGAGGACTAGTTTATATCATGCTATATTTATGGTCTGCTTCCCTCCTCTTTGTTTTTCCTTGATAGGAAGTTTAAATGAAATACTGTTTTAAGTTCTGTAGGAGTTAAACCACACGATTCATTTTAGAAAATGAGACTTGATAGCTAGATGGTGCAGGCATTTCAGGGCCCGATCCGTAGCTGGTGTAAGTCAGCATAGCTCCATTGACTCTGTTTTGGGACCGTATTCTAACTGACATCAAGATTATAAATGTCATTGGACCGGTAAGATGGTGGTTGGATTTTATTCAGTTTCCTTTTGATTTAGAAAATAACACTAAGGAACTTGCTTTCTGCTAGCCGAAGTCATCCAGAAGTGTCGTCTGGCTATTTGTGTGCTGTCTGCTTGTACTCAGAAGGTTGTGTTAAGCGCAAGGAGTGAGGTTTAAGAACACTAGGACATGCGATTTGACTACAAAAAAGGAAAATTAATTAAAGCTAGCCTTGTACAGTATATGTTAACAAGATTTCAATCAACGGCCAGATTATTTGACATCTCCCATTCTTGCATTAACAAGGAAAAATGGTGTGTGAAAGTTTTGTCCAGCGTCGCCCACAAAAAGTACAGTTTGGGAGCTGTGCGGTTGTGCAGTGTGTGTAATTAAGTGTCCAAGTGCTGCATTGTGCCTTTCAGAGCTTTTTTTGGACACTGAGCTGAGTACTTATCTATCCCAAGTACAGCTGCTGCCGCTGATTCATTTTACTGGTGAGGTTTTGACTACTTACCTTGCAAAGAATCCCAAAGATCGCTGCTTGCAGTTAAACACAAGGAGGCAGTTGTGATTGCTACAGATGCAGAATACAGCAGCCCATCATGCTGCACTTCGTCAGAAGGAAGTTATCTTTTGAGTGAAAGAAGAAATGCTAACTTACCAAAAACCAAACAAGGCTCCTGCACCTGAAATGTATGACTGGTGCTGTTGGAGATGGTATTCGAGGGGAAGATGGGAATAGCTGGCTTTTACATTAATGTTTTATGATCACAAAAAACAAACAACAAGTTATATATAAAATTATATGTGATATCTATCCTTCCGCCTCCATTTAATGCCACTTGTCTTCTTAGACCCATATCCTTCAGACACTTGGCACATACATAAGTTTGCTCATGTGGGTACTCAATAAGAGTATTGGAGCCAATAGGACTGGTCAGATGTCAGTATTTGTAAGATCACGGCATTAGGTCAGAGGCTAAAAAGTAGATTGAAATGAGAGGGGAGAGCTCTCACTGCTCTAACCGAGGGGAGCGGGAGTGTGGGGGAGCATTGCTCACTGAAATTGGGGAGAAGAGAGAGTACTCCTCTCTGATTTTGGTCCTTCCCTCTTACTTTAACCCTTGCCTTGCTCCATAGTCCTGCAAACAAAACTTCAGCTGAAACCCTGCACAAGGCCAGCTCGGAGATCGAATGGGTTCCCTTTGGGGCAGGGCCTTGTCTTTATGTGTTTGTATAGCACCTAGCCCAATTGGGGGATTTGGATATTACTACAGTTGAAATATAATAGTAGTATTTTTTCCAGTTTTGAACAGGTTAGTTCACAAAATTGTTGATAGGTATCTTCCTGCTCTTTTGCATTACAACAGCTATGTACTGCCCTGGGTAGTTGTATCTCCGTTAATTTGGAATTTACTTTCCAGGCTTCCAATTTTAAAGAGACAGTGAGTAGCAATGTTATGGTGGTACATGACTTTCAGTAATAGATATCTGGCCATATATTTATTACACCACATGGTCCCTTAGAAATCAACGAACGTGTTTTAGAGTTAAGCACACATATAAGTCTCTGCAGGATCAGGGCCTTAGAAATGCTGTAAAATATCTTGCATAATGTGCACAGTATTGCAAACTGTATAAAGAATCAGCAGTTTTAGATGGCAGAGCTGTTTCTTACACTACACCTCTCCTGAGCATTAGGGAGCATTAGGTTCCTATCTCTGCATTTAAATACAGCTTGCTTCTCTAAGTTGTGCTATGGCATAAGCAGCAAAATACTGGCTTCTTATTTTGCGTGGCTTAGAATTACCCAAGTTTCTAAACAACATAATAGTTTGAGCCAATAATATTCCACAGTTTACAAATCTTTTCAGATACCTTTAATGGAACTGTGACCTTTCTGCCATTGGAGGAAAATGATGAAGGAAAATATCAGATTAAGAAGTGCAACATTTATCAAATTCGACTTACACACACTAAAGATGATGAATGGTGAGTGCTGGGGAGAGAGAGGGGAAGCAAACCTCTGCACTGACCTAAGATGACACCATCCTCTTCTATAATGTGTCTGGATGGTTTGATTTGTGTTATATAGGGCCTGATTTATGTGATGAAGAGTCCCCTGCTCCTTATTTAAGATATGATCGTCCTATGGCAGTATGTGCACACCTGAATCCATTCACTTGATCTAAAATTGTTAGCTCACTGTTCTCAGAGACCTGAACTGAGTGCATTCTTCTTAGTTAGGGCTTGATCCTGCTCCTTTGAAGGCAATGGGAATTTCACATTGACTTTAATGGGGGAAGGATCAATCCCTCAGATCCTTATTGAGTGAATCATACTGTGGATCGCGGTCTCATCCTGCTGTAATAGAAAAGTAACCTTTTCATTTAATCAATTCTGCTTTCTTTTTATAATTGCTAGATATTAAATGTTTATCAGTTAATTGAAAAATCCCAAATTTGTATCTGTACAACTAAGCCTGTTCCAGTTTTGCATGGATAGGATTATGAATCGTGCCATCTGACTTCCTTAAAAATGTTTATAATCTGGTCACAGAGTCACTTCTGAAGTCTACTCAGCATAAAGTTAAGCACTTGTGTGTGTGCAGTATCAGGGTCAAAGTTGGAGATTTCTCCAAGTTGGGACATGGTATTCTAAAATCGTGAAAATTAAACTTGGGGAATGCCTGATTGATCACCCAAGGCACAGTCTTGCAAGGTGCTGAGCACTCTAGTCCTGATGCCACAAAGCCACTTTGCATTTAAATGTGTGAGTAGTCCCGTTGACTA